CAGAGTCAGAAGTCAGAGTAGAGTCAGAGTCAGAGTCAGAGTCAGAGTCAGAATCAGAGTCAGAATCAGAGAGTCAGAATCAGAGTCAGAATCAGACGGTCAGGTCAGAGTCAGAGTCAGAATCAGAGTCAGAGTCCGAATCAGAGAATCAGAGTCAGAGTCAGAATCAGAGTCAGAATCAGAGTCAGAATCAGAGTCAGAGTCAGAATCAGAATCAGTCAGAGTCAGAATCAGTCAGAGTCAGAGTCAGAGTCAGAATCAGAGTCAGAGTCAGAGTCAGAGTCAGAATCAGAGTCAGAGTCAGAGTCAGAATCAGAGTCAGAGTCCGAATCAGAATCAGAGTCAGAGTCAGAATCAGTCAGAGTCAGAGTCAGAGTCAGAATCAGAGTCAGAGTCAGAGTCAGAATCAGTCAGAGTCAGAGTCAGAATCAGAGTCAGAGTCAGAATCAGTCAGAGTCAGAGTCAGAATCAGAGTCAGAGTCAGAATCAGAGTCAGAGTCAGAGTCAGAATCAGAGTCAGAGTCAGAGTCAGAATCAGTCAGAGTCAGAGTCAGAATCAGAGTCAGAGTCAGAATCAGAACCTTTATCCGTCCCACAGTGGGGAAATGTACATTGTTACAGCAGAAAAAGAGCCACAGAGCTTAATGTTAACTAAGAAGCATACAAAAGTATTAAAGATACAACAATTATAAATAAAAAAATTACACAATTTACACGAGAGAGAGAGAGAGAGAGAGAGAGAGAGAGAGAGAGAGAGAGAGAGAGAGAGAGAGAGAGAGAGAGGAGAGAGAGAGAGAGAGAGGAGGGGAGCCGGGAAAAGAGAGGATCCGTTCTCCGTGTTATTATCCAAAGTTAATGTGTAAACTTTGGAATAATGTTACTTCATCTACTACAAGTAGTTTGTTTGAATGTAATAATTATGTTGTTTGTTGTTTGTGGAATCATTTATTGAAAAATGAATCTGAATTTTTCGATCTGTTACGATTATAAACTGAAGCAATATAAAAATGACTTCCAACATCAGCATATCCGGTCATAGTCCGGTAATTACCTGCTAACGGAAACTCTGCTACACAATTCTTATTATTATTATTGAAACATGACCGGTAAGAAAAAATCCTAGCGGAAACCCCCATATATGTGTGTGTGTGTGTGTGTGTGTGTGTGTGTGTGTGTGTGTGTGTGTGTGTGTGTGTGTGTGTGTGTGTGTGTGTGTGTGTGTGGGGGTGGTTATATAGTCTGATATATATCTATAAACATGTGTTTCTAAAGACCCTCCAGGCTCCTGTTTTTACCTTCTCTGTTTTACTGGGGCTTTAAATACTGTCAGCCAATCAGAAAGCAGCGTAGTTTGCTTGCTAACACCCTCAGGAGATAGAGAGTTTAATTCAATAATAACAGAGTCTCATCACATTCCTGTTTCCCTCTGTCTGCCCCCCCCCCCCCAGGCATGGAAACGGTTAGCTTCCTGCTGAGAGCCTGTAATCATCTCTCAGGTACACCTGGGAAACATCAGCAGTCACACAATGGCCCTTTCTCATTTCACTCATTTCCCCTCCTCCTCCTCGCCTCCTCGGTCCTCCGGTAGTGACCCGGAAATGAATTTCAGCAATCCATGTTGAAGGACATCTCATTTCTCTAAATGCACATCGAGGACCGAGCATCGAGCGTGGAGGAGGCTCTCTGGAGGAGCTCTAACCGAGGAGACACTGATGGGTCCTCCACGGTCCTCCACGGCTCCTTCGTGGATGCATTTCCGGGAACAGTGATGTTTCAAAGAGTTGAGACGCACGGCCGGACTGATCTCAGCCAATCACAGCTCTGCATGCATCCCCTGGATATTATTTTATTAACTGCTTTCATCGCGACGCGATGTTTCCAGAGAGAACAGCTGTGAGGTCCGTGCAGAAAGCAGAGCAGTGTGTATAATATATATCACTCAGTGTGTAGGTGTGTGTGGTACAGTGTGTAGGTGTGTGTGGTACAGTGTGTAGGTGTGTGTGGTACAGTGTGTGTAGGTGTGTGTTGTACAGTGTGTGTAGGTGTGTGTTGTACAGTGTGTAGGTGTGTGTTGTACAGTGTGTCGGTGTGTGTTGTACAGTGTGTAGGTGTGTGTTGTACAGTGTGTAGGTGTGTGTTGTACAGTGTGTAGGTGTGTGTGTGGTACAGTGTGTAGGTGTGTGTTGTACAGTGTGTAGGTGTGTGTGTGGTACAGTGTGTAGGTGTGTGTTGTACAGTGTGTAGGTGTGTGTGTGGTACAGTGTGTAGGTGTGTGTGGTACAGTGTGTAGGTGTGTGTGTGGTACAGTGTGTAGGTGTGTGTTGTACAGTGTGTAGGTGTGTGTGTGGTACAGTGTGTCGGTGTGTGTTGTACAGTGTGTAGGTGTGTGTTGTACAGTGTGTCGGTGTGTGTTGTACAGTGTGTAGGTGTGTGTTGTACAGTGTGTAGGTGTGTGTGGTACAGTGTGTAGGTGTGTGTTGTACAGTGTGTAGGTGTGTGTTGTACAGTGTGTAGGTGTGTGTGGTACAGTGTGTGCGTAGATGCAGCGGACAGACAGGTCTCAGTTGGTTTGGTGTCCTCTGCTTACTTGTAATACTTGTAAATACAACTTTTGGCCCGTCATTTATTTTCCTCATTCTAGCGACCAGAGAGGGGAGAGGGGGGGGGGATATATCCAGTCTCTGATAGTGTTACGTTATTATGAGAGTGCTCTGTTTGATTCTGAAATTGTATATATTTATATAAATATATGTGTGTGTGTGTGTGTGTGTGTGTGTGTGTGTGTGTGTGTGTGTGTGTGTGTGTCCGCATCTGTAGCCTGTTCTTGTCTCATTATACCGCACTGTGAATGAATCAAAGTAAATATATAAGTGGTCATGAACACATCTGTCCATCAGACAGAGGGCTGCTGTGCCTCCTGTCATCATTAATGGACGTCTCTTTAAAATGACCGCTCAGAGGAGAGGAGTTCTCATTTCTCTAACCGCCTGCTGCTTCCCCTCCTCTCTCCTCGGTTCCCCTCCTCTTTCCTCGGTTCCCCTCCTCTCTCCTCGGTTCCCCTCCTCTCTCCTCGGTTCCCCTCCTCAAATCCTCTCTCCTCGGTTCTCCTCCTCGACTACTCCGCTCGCATCTCCTGTGGGCGGGACTAAGACACGAGGATAGGAGTCGAGGAGGGGAATTAGAGAAATGAGAAAGGGCCAATGAGAGCCTCATCACCTGTGTACCTGGTTCAGGGTTAATAAAGTTGTACCTGTGTACCTGGTTCAGTGTTAATAAAGTTGTACCTGTGTACCTGGTTCAGTGTTAATAAAGTTGTACCTGTGTACCTGTCTCAGTGTTAATAAAGTTGTACCTGTGTACCTGTCTCAGTGTTAATAAAGTTGTACCTGTGTACCTGTGTCAGTGTTAATAAAGTTGTACCTGTGTACCTGTGTCAGTGTTAATAAAGTTGTACCTTTGTATCCCGTGTTGCAGACACAGACGGCGTGCTGAGAGTCGTCTCCACGGTAACAGCTTCCTGCAAACTGCCGCAGGCTGCCGGGGCCGTCGGGACACCTGCAGGGCCGGCAGTGGTCACCTGACCCCAACACCGGGTCGCCATAGTAACCATCCAGACACCTGGGGAGAGAGGGGGTATCTCACCTGTCAGTGTGTGTTTTATAAATGTGTGTCTCACCTGTCAGTGTGTGTTTTATAAATGTGTATCTCACCTGTCAGTGTGTGTTTTATAAATGTGTGTCTCACCTGTCAGTGTGTGTTTTATAAATGTGTATCTCACCTGTCAGTGTGTGTTTTATAAATGTGTGTCTCACCTGTCAGTGTGTGTTTTATAAATGTGTATCTCACCTGTCAGTGTGTGTTTTATAAATGTGTATCTCACCTGTCAGTGTGTGTTTTATAAATGTGTATCTCACCTGTGAGTGTGTGTTTTATAAATGTGTGTCTCACCTGTCAGTGTGTGTTTTATAAATGTGTGTCTCACCTGTGAGTGTGTGTTTTATAAATGTGTATCTCACCTGTGAGTGTGTGTTTTATAAATGTGTGTCTCACCTGTGAGTGTGTTTTATAAATGTGTGTCTCACCTGTGAGTGTGTTTTATAAATGTGTGTCTCACCTGTCAGTGTGTGTTTTATAAATGTGTGTCTCACCTGTCAGTGTGTGTTTTATAGTGTGTGTCTCACCTGTCGCAGGTGTGTCCCGTGCTGTGGTCCCTGCAGGTGAGGCAGCGGCCGGTGAGGGGCTCGCAGGCGTCGCTGTGTCCGTTACAGGAGCAGGGTCTGCAGGAGGGGAAGCCCCAGAACCCCGGGAGACACCCAGAGCACTGACGCCCAGAGGCTCCAGACACACACACACACTGACCTGACAGCTGATCACAGAACTCACTCTGAGAGCCCTGAGGGTCACACTCACACGCTACACACACACACACACACACACACACACACACACACACACACACACACACACACACACAATCAGTTCATTGGTTTAACCCATTTTGAAACTTATTATGAAAGTGTTATTTATGATTTGTTATGAAAGTGTTATTTATGATTTGTTATGAAAGTGTTATTTATGATGCGTTATGAAAGTGTTATTTATGATGCGTTATGAAAGTGTTATTTATGGTTTGTTATGAAAGTGTTATTTATGATTTGTTATGTTTGTTTGTTACCATCCATCTGCTCTACCCAACGCACTGTCGCACACCTGACGCGTCATCAGAATGCAACTCCTACTGCTCCTCTTACACTCTCCCCCGCTCATCTACACTCCCAGCGGCATGAAATACCCGGAGCGGATCCCACTCCCCTCCGCCACCCAAAACATATAATAAGCCATTTCTCCCCACCATCAAGCCCCCCTCCTTTGCCCCACTGCCTCCCCTCTCGTGCCCACACCCGAGCTGCTAACCCAGACAACCTCATACCTATCCAGCCTGCCACCACCCCTCCAACCCCCCACTTGACTAATCTTGCCCTCCTCAATACCCAGTCACTCAACACTAAAGCCCACATCCTCCACGAAATAATTCTGGACAAATCCATCGACTTCCTTCTGCTCACTGAAACCTGGCAACAACCCAATGACTTCTTCTCCCTCAATCAAACATCCCCCCCTGGTTTTAATTACATCACTAAACCCCGCCCCTCACGCCGTGGTGGTGGGCTGGCTGTCATCTACAACCAGAACATCCGGACTACAGAACTCACCCTCCCCTCAGTATCATCCTTCAAATTCCTCGCCTTCAAAACCACTCCCTCACTGACAGTTATCCTCATTTACCGGCCCCCCAAACCACACCCCTCCTTCCTCTCTGAACTCCTCACCATTGCTTCATCCCTCTCCCCACGTATGTTACTCCTCGGCGTCCTCAACATCCACATGGACTCCCCCACCTGCAAACTCGCTTCTGAATTCTCCTCCCTTCTGGACAATTTCTCATTTACCCAACATGTCACCTTCCCCACCCATGATAAAGGACACATCCTTGACCTTGTCTGCTCCACCAACCTCCCAGTACTCGACCTCCACCCCTGCCCCTTTCCCCTCTCTGACCACAAACTCATACAGTTCATCATCGCATCCCCCGTCCGCCACCCCCCCCCCACCCAGGAACATCATCTTCCGTAATTTACGCTCTGTCGATCCCCAGCACCTCTCCGACCTGCTATCCTCTAGTCTCCCCCTGGACTCGAACCTCAGCTCACCCGATGAACAACTCAACCACCTTAACTCCACCCTACTCGCCTCCCTCAACAGCCTGGACCCCCTCAAAAGGAAAAACGTCACTTTCAAAACCTCCTCACCCTGGTTCACCCCTGCACTCCGAAAATTGAAGCAAACCGGCCGCCAGCTTGAACGCCTATCCATGAAATCATCCCTCACAGTTCACCATCAATCATACAAACTCCATCTCACTACCTACAGAGACGCCCTCACTGCCGCAAAATCTACCTACTTCTCCACCATCTTTACCGACCCCTCCCGTAACCCCAGGACCCTCTTCTCCACCGTCAACAAGCTCCTCAAACCCCGTGCTGACACCCTCTCTTCATCCACTTCCACCTTATGCAGTTCATTCCTCCAGTTTTTCTCTGACAAAATCACTGCCATTAATCTCTCCCTATCCACTGCTTCTCACACACAAACATCTCCCCCAACACCCACCGCCACAACTTCTCCCTCCATCTCCCTGGACCTCCCGAGCCCCCCTCCCCACGGCCGCCTCTCCCAGTTCACTCTGGTTACCCCCCCCTGAAATACTCAAACTGATCAGCTCCTCCAAACCCACAACCTGCTCGCTTGACCCCTTACCCACCCCTCTACTGAAGTCCTGCCTCCCCGTCCTCTGCCCTTACCTTGTCAACCTTTTCAACTCCTCCCTGTCCCAAGGAACCGTTCCCTCTGCCTTCAAAACTGCTGCTGTCACTCCCATCCTCAAGAAACCCGGTCTGGATCCCTCCTCCCTCAGTAATTACCGCCCCATCTCCAACCTCCCCTTTCTCTCAAAAACAATAGAACGTATCATCTCCAAACAACTCCACCGCCATCTCCAAACAAATCACCTTTTTGAACCCCTTCAGTCTGGTTTTCGTCCCCATCACAGCACAGAAACGGCACTCACCAAAGTCCTCAACGACCTCCTCACCTCTGCTGACACCGGTTCACTCAACATCCTCATCCTCCTCGACCTGAGTGCAGCCTTCGACACCGTGAGCCACAACATCCTGCTCACCCGACTCCAGGACATCGGTATCGAAGGTACTGCACTCAGGTGGCTCCAGTCCTACCTCTCCGACAGATCCCACTTCATCTCCCTCAACAACCACTCCTCTGCCACAGCTTCAGTCACCCAAGGTGTTCCCCAAGGTTCAGTACTCGGCCCCCTCCTCTTCATCATCTACATCCTCCCCCTTGGTCAGATTCTACACCACTACAACCTGGACTTTCACTGTTACGCTGACGACACACAGATTTACCTCAGCACCAAATCCCCCCACAACCCCCCCCCTCACCCACATCGAATCCTGTCTGACTGCTATAAAATCCTGGATGGCACACAACTTCCTCAAACTCAACAGCAATAAAACTGAACTCCTCCTCATCGGCTCCAAATCCACCCTCAGCAAAACCCCCAACCTGACACTCACCATCGATGGCACCCCTGTTTCCCCCTCCACCCAGGCACGCAACCGTGGCGTGATATTTGACCCCACCCTCTCCCTCGAGTCCCACATCCGCCAAGTTGTTAAAACCTCATTTTTCCACCTCCGCAATATCGCCAAACTCCGTCCCTCTCTCACCCGCCCTGCAGCTGTGCGACTCATTCACGCCTTCATCTCCTCCCGCCTGGACTATTGCAACGCACTCCTCTACGGCATCAGCACTACATCCCTCAATAGACTTCAGCGTGTCCAGAACGCAGCCGCCAGACTCCTCACCCACACCAAATCATGGCATCATATCACCCCGGTCCTCAAAGCACTTCACTGGCTC